ACAAACAACACACACTGTCTGACATGGCCTCCAGACACAAACCAGAGCGAGGACGAGGGAGCGAAAGGGCGAGCGAGCGAGGGAGGGATGGGGTAGGGTAGGGTGGGGTTTGGTGTGGAGGCTCTGTGTGTGTGTGTTTGCATTTGCTTGCATTGCGGCTTGTGTGTCTCCCTGCTCTAAATATTTGGACATGTGGGGAGATCAGACAGAGAGAGAGCAACGAAATGTGGAGAGATAGCGGCTGATGATGAGAGGAGGGGGTGAGGGTGGGGATGGGGTGTAATGTGGGGAGGAGGTGTACAGATAGAGGAGGGGAGAATGGGAGAAGGAGAGAAATCTTTTTATTGCTGGGGGTCTCTGTGGGCCTGACAGTAAATAAGCAGTGATAAGCAGCAGGCAGCTTCAGTCGGCACCCTCACTTGCAGGCTGTTAATGACCCAGCTTCTCTCGTATGTCCCTGCCTAACCCTCGCCTTCCCATACCCCCCTCTGCTCATACTGTAGGCACATTCTTCCTCGCCTTCATCTGTCTGATTCCCCCTCTGTCTGTCTGCCTCCATTTTGTCATCACATATTCTCTTTCACTCTCATTTTAACTACCTCCCTACTCCTTCCTCCAGCTCCCTCTATTGACTCTATTTCTTCCTAATCTGCTGTTAACCCCCCCTCAAGGCGAACCCCCCCTTTCCCTCGTCTCCGTCTCCCACCCACCTCCCATCTGACACATCATTCTGAGGTGAAGACGAGCGCAGCATCCCTCACCGTCCTCAAATGAGCAATCACGCCTCTCTGCAGCTCTTTTCCCTCATTCCTCGCAGTTTAAACACACGGAGCTGCAAGGTCAAGTGTGTTATATTAATGTGCCGCTGTATATATCTTTCTGTGGTTTATCGGCGCTTGTGTAGGTGTGCATCCCGTATTGTGTATCTGTGTGAGGGAGTGTGCATCTTAGATCAACGGTTAAAGAGATTCAGCCCACAGCAGCGAGATGGCCAGCAAGGTCAAGGCCGACTCTGTGGCAACACAAATTGTTCCGCTCGGAAATCCTTCCTTCTCCGGGGGCACGCAGATCATCTCGCTTCGCTGTTAAAAAACAGTTTGAAAGCCTCCTGACTGACAGAAAATGGACGTGTGTCATTGTTAACACAGTCCTAAAGATATGCATGAATGCATTAACATTTTTTGGTTTTTAAAGCATGGCTTTTTTGTTTTATTTTATTTCATTTTTTTTATTTATTTGTTGTTGGTTAACGAAGTGGAAAGTGAGGGGGAGCTTAGCGCTAATTTTACGCTTTGTTTGTTTTAATTCTATTAGCCGTAGCCCATCTTACATGTTTTTCATTAGCTGTGCGTGGATTCCCTGAAAGGCTAAATCCCTTTTAACCTATTCAAGTCAGATCATTTTTTATTCATGCAAAGAGTTTACTGTAACACACCCACCTTTAAACAAAATCCCAAAGCTGCTAAGGCTACAGCTGACTTCTGACACGGTGCCTTGCGGCATCTGTATATATTGAATATGTGTTCCATTCAGCTCGCCAGCATTCACTATAAATCCACATGCAACCTGTGAGTGTTAATATGTCACCCATAACACTGGGTCTATTCTATGTCTGCCTCTCTCCGTGCATTTGTAGAAGGATTAAAGCAAAACAAAACATCACGAAGGAGGCCATGTTGAAGTACTAATTGTACGTTTGGTTTGCGTCTTTGAGATCGCTGTGGCTGAATCCAGTGGGAGGAATATTGTGGGTGGGAGGTGTTTTCTGTGTTTGTTTACATGTAATTTTCCCACCAGTCTTGCCAGTCGCTCAGCGCATGTTGAATTGATCGATTCTTCTTTTACACACAGTACGTTGCTCTTTTTTTCCTGCCTGCTCTAGCTTCTTCCGACTTGTTGTTGCCATGCTGCCTCACTCCTTTTTTTCCTTCATTTTAGCTCTTCTTTTTATTATTTATTTTTCTCATTTTTGTCTTTCTGGATGGGTATTTCTGCCTCCCTGTGCCTCTCAGTCTCTAGCTGTGCTAATTTCTCTTTATAGCTGTCAGTGATTCTGCAGCTCAGGCTGTCTCTGCATCTCTCTCTGGTTCCTTCATACTCTTACTCCCTTGTTATACTGCACTCTCGGCTGTCACTGCCTCTCAGGACCTCATTTTAACACTCCTCCCTCAGTGCTGCCTTCTCCTACAGTACTTCATCCCTTCTCTTTCTACTCATTCCTGGGTCCTCGCCTTCGATTTCTTTCTTCTTGCATCTCTTACCGTATCCAGTCCTCTCCCTGCCTCTCTGCTTCTCTTCAAAGGAGTTCATACCGGGCTTGGAAATCCTGCTCTACACACCACCCTCCAGGTGCGGATTGTTTTTAACGAATCCTACAAACCCAGGACTGAGAGCTGACACGCTGATGAATCCATACACACTCTCCGCTTGCATGTATACCAGTACTGTATGCGTGGCTACCTGACTTCAAGAACACACACACACACACAAATTCTTGAGCACTTACCAGTGAAAACACAGGAAACGCACAGGGGCTTCACTAACATGGGCTTTTGAATACTATTTTCTTGACAGATTTTGCCAAATTGCTGTTATTTTCTGCAGATTGGCTCTATTCTCTGAAAAGTCTCAAATCTCCAAAATGGCAACATTTCAGAAACTTCAGGAACATTTTTGATGAGTTTTCAAAGGATTTTAAGGTCATTTGAGTTTGGAGGCTTTCCTTAAACTTCAAGTTATCTAATAAAATGAAAACCTGCCAAATTTTGAAGATATAATTTCTACTGTACAGCAGTGACATAGTTTGAGTGTACTTTAGAAATCATAGATTCTTTAAGGAAGGAGGAGTAGATATAGAGTACATTTTAAAGAATACCTCATTAAAGTAATGAGGTAATTAATGATATAATAATGAGGTAATTGGACTTTTTTAAATACCACATTAAAAATTATTAGGCAGAGAAGCTTTATATGACTTACAACATATCTGGAGGGAACATCATCATTTTTGTCCTGTATCAAGCAAAAGCGCTATTTCTAGTGTCTGAAATGGAAGGATTTACTCTTTACTATCAGTATAAATTGTATTTCAATGTTGTTTTGACTGTTAGTTGGATAAAACAAGAATTAGCAAGACTCTCAAAAATGTTAATGGGGATTTTTATATTTAAAGATAATAAAATCCCCAAAAGCTCTTTTATTAAAAACCTCCATAACATCAGTTGAGGACAAAATGACTGATATTTTATATTTAAACAGTAAGGGTGACAATATTTCATATTTTTCCCTCAACAAATCCAAAGGAAGGAGCAAAACCAACAACGCTAACAATACTTTCTGACTTGCCCCAAGCCCATTTGTCCATTAGTGAAGATTTAAATTTTTAAAAACATCAAAAAGATATACTTTCTTTCTTAAAATAAAGGCTGAATAATTGCCTTAAACAGTCGGCAGCAGCTGTAGCTTTCAGCAAATGTTACTGAAAAAGGTTTAAATAGTGTATCTGTGAGGGACTATTTTCAGCAGCAGATTTGGTGCTGCTGAAAATAATACATCCCTGGTATAAATAAATAAATAAATAAGCTTTATTTATGGCACCAGGACGGTTCATGTTGGATTGAGTCAAAATGAACGACGTGTGGGTGGAGCATGTTACCCTGTGCATCAGTTCACTTGTGTGTTTTTTAAGAGCTCTATGGCACAGAGGAATAAGCTATATCTGGCAACTTTGTCAATACCTGTTAGTAGGATTCGTTTATTATTGGTTTTGGTGTTTTCATGGAATTTGTTGGCAGAAAAAAAAAACATAGAATATCACCAACCTTATTTTTGAATAAAGGCAAAGGTTCTGAATATAAGCATAAGTACACACTCTCATACCCTAGATGGTGGCTGACAGCCTTAACGTAGACACACTTGTATTGTTATTGAAGAGACGGAGGTGCTTCGGTAAGGTTAATTTGAAACCAAAGCATCATATCTCAGACCTGCCTCCAACACATGGCCCTCCTACACATTAAGTCTACATCCCATGTGAGCGTGAAAGCCTTTCTCCTGACACGTATGTACTTCAACAAGCCATACTGGTAATGAGCGGGTGTCAGCACTCGTCTCCCCCCAGCGTGCACACACACGTCTTCATAAGAGAGTGATTATTGGAGATGGCAGGCAGCTTAGGGAATGACCATTTGAAATTGAAATCATCTAGCATTACACTAAAGGGATCTATTAGCCATCTGAACTCGGAATGGAAAGGCAGAGCCTCGTAGATCTCTCTGCTCAGGGAAAAAAAACCTTAGCTGAGAGGCAGCAGTCAAAACACCTCGACACTGGTCAAAACATTTTTTTTTTTTTTTCACCAAATTACACTCAGCTGCTGCAAACATTTGCATTTGGATGCGTCATGCTTTGACTGAGTTTTGTACGGATGTTTCATTATGTTTGCTCTGAACAGATGGAAATATTGATAAAAGGGAGGCTGATTGGCAGTGAATCAGGCAGGAAATTCATTTGTCCCATTAAAACACTCTCATCTGATGGGAGTCAAATAAGAGGAAAAGGTGAGATGAATACAGATCACCTGTTCCACACTTAAACACACTTAAAGAGCTGCTAAGAGATTAATCTAGTCAACTCTTATATTATAAAGTGTCTTTGTGTATTTCCAGGTAATTCCAGGTTAATGGGCTTAGGCAACATGTTGTTTGCTATGCTTTGACTCATAAACAAAACAAAACTTCTCTCTCAAAAACCTGCCCATGTTACCTGTGCCACAGCCTCTCCTCCCCCTCATCATCTGTTCTCCTTCTCCTCTCCTGCCCTTCTTCCTTTTACCTATACAAACCGACTCCTTTCCATCCACGCTCCTACCCCCTCCCTCATCCAGCTGTCCTCGACATCCACACGTCCCTTCTCTCCTCCACCTCCCCTCGTACGTGCTCTTTTTTAATCCCTCCCTCCATCTGTACAGCTCCTGTACGTCTCTGTCATCTTCCCCCCACCTTGTTGAGCGTGATGACCGCCTCTTGGTTCACTCCGGTGATGTTGAACGTGTCCCCGGTCTCCCCCTCCAGGATGGTATATTCCAGCTTGGCGTTCTCACCGAGGTCGGCGTCAGTCGCAGAGATACGCCCTATCTCGGCCCCCGGGATGGCCAGCTCGGAAACAGAAAAGGACCACATACCTGGCAGAGACACATGACGGCACGCGTTAGGAAAGCAGGCTTTGTCATTTCATGCACCAATACACTTCATTTGTCAGTTAAACATTTAATTTTGTCTTTTGACCTGCTATCAAATGGCTGTTCCCCACCTGCACTGAGCCAATATTTACAATATTTCATTCAGATAAGGACGGCATTTAATTGAACAGAACTGAGAGGATGAAGGAGGGAGATAAAGAAAGAGAAAGGCATTGAGATGTTATTAAAAGCCAGGAGAAATATGGCCAGAAAACCTGCTGTAAAAAAAAAACTAAATTAAAAGAAGCTAGGATTAAAAAACAGAAGGAACAGTGGAGATAAAGAGAAAGCAAAGATTACAGGTAAGAAAGGCTGCTCTGTCTCCCTCAAAACATTTGAACTTCATGATAACTACTCATCACAAACAGCCACTTTTTAGTCTCTGAGTCGTCCATTCCCTTTTCCTGCTAACAAGTATTAGCCAAGATAAGAGGTTCTTTAATGTGTGCTGCCATCGTGTTTGGGCCCATTAAAGCAGCACATTATTAGAGTCCTTCTGCTGGCTTTGCAGTTTATATTATTGGGACACGCAGTACATTACTCTAATGATTCACCTGATTCACCTATCTGATGAAAATATGGATTACCAGACAAAACCTGCTACATCTGTGAACTCGCATTGCTGCCTAAAAAGCACAGACAAGCACGCAAACATAAATTCAAATATCCACCTACCACTTTATTTCAGCCTAAAACCTAAAACACAGACTCACAGCAGCCACCGGCTGCACTGACAAGAATAAGTATGGTAGGAAAGATAGAAATTTAGCGAGGGAAAAGGTAAGATATCACTATTTGGCTCGCACACACAGAACAGACAGGCTCATTCAAACAGAGCTGTTATCTCGGCTAAAGCTAAGGGAATCAGATAGACCTGTAAATGTGAGCGAGAACAACATCGTGCAAACACATTGGGTTGACAGAATAAAAGATAGCCAGCACTTCAACAAGACAGTATCTGGGCCAACACGCAGTCTGACGAATTCTGTGAATCTGACGACATCACAGCGAGACAAGAGTATTACACTTTGAGGATCAGGATTACGGTTCAAACATCAAAGACGCACCGGCAACCAAAGTTATCACTCGGGGTGTTTGATTGTTGCCTTTTTAAGTCTGTTGATGTCAAATGTGTAATGTAGTCATGTAATAATTAATTTAAAAAACATGCAGAAGGTTTCCTGCTCCAACAAGTCCTCCAACTTAAACCACAAAACAGGTTGCCAGAGCCTTCTGAAACATACACGACCATTACGAAGATGATTACATTTTAATTGTCTCTGATATGTCACTACTGATACTGCCTGAATCTGCTTATACACACTGAGAAGAGGACACAATTTTGATGCAAAAATGTTGGTTAATGTAATCTTTTCTACGGTTACATTTTTCTGTTGTCTTATAAAACATGTAAAAGTCACCTTATTGATATTTGTATTATCTTGTCTTTATTTGCATATTTGGTGTTGACGTAATCAAATAACAGAAAGTAATCAAATTACATTACTGTAATGTTGTGATTCTTGGATTAGGTTACTGATTAAATTTTTTAACAGGTTATCAGTAATTGTATTGGATAACTAGGTATGTAACGATATATCGCGAGAATAACAAATTTGTGGAAATTCATATAGGTGAGATGAGAAATGCATCGTGATACTCTTTAAACAGCAGAGGGTGCTATCTGCTTTTGACTACATCACTTGCATCAGCTGTATAACTGCGTAAAGACATGGCGGCTGCAGGTGAGGACTTTGACACTGACGATACGCCATCCTGTTTAAAATCTGAGGTGTTGGAGTCAGAAAATGAAGAGAACTGTATCAAATGGTGAGTTGTGTGTATTGTTACGTGCCTATTTCTAACCCTGGTCACGTGTATGGGTAAGTTTTGGATAAGTTTTGTTAAGCAAATAAAAAAGAGAAATAGAAAAACCCCCAATAACAATCCAAACCCCCAAACACAAACAAGATGGATTATCTTCATTCAGTAAATAGCAATAGCAATAATATTTTTCTGTAAATGTTATTTCCTAGTATGAAAGTCTAAATGTCTTTTACTCACTAAAATTCTGGTCAAATTCTTTCTTTCTTTTTTTTATATTGAGCCTAAAAAAAACTGGAATCAGCTAAACCAATGCTGTAAGTTTTATTGTGTAATGTAAACTCCTACAGATACAACGTGACGTGACCTCTGTGTTCTCTATGATAGCTACGGTCCTGATTAAAACCACTTGATCATGGTCAGACAGCGATCAATATCAAGGTCATACACTACCAGCATTGACTGTTGTAGGAAACGGGGTGTAAACAGCTGTCACCAGTCTCCAACTTCAACCTTTTCCCTACAGACTTGTCTACACAGGAGTCCATCTCAAATGTATTTGACAGGACTGTTGAACACTGCTGTTTTAATCAATACAGCTGTCCACATGAAGGATCATGTTTACATGCATAACATGACCCAAAGTGAATGTGTATGCCTCAAGTCTATTTTCTTCTATTTTACATGCGTAACTTCAGTAAATGTGTGCTGAGTGCTGCCAAAACACGGCTGACCTACTGTGCCTCAACACATCCAGCGTAGACCCTGACACAAGACTGAAGCTGCTGCTCCGCTAACACGCTGCTGTCACAACACCAGCTGTGTAGACAAGGTTTAAACAGTACAACAACATCAAGGTTAAAAGGTAAATAATCGGTTAGACAGCCACTTTTCTAGATGATTACGTGTAGAGTTAACTCCAGCCTTTAAGTATAAGAAAGTGCTGGCACTATAATGATGCATACTATGACAAATGAAAAATATGAAAATGTAGAACGCTGGATTTAAAGAGACTGGTTCTTATTCCTGCTATCCATGATTCATTATCTTCTTGTCCGGAAGTCACTTCCACTTATTAACTCCAACATCTGTGTAGAACATGGACTCTGTTTTTCTGCAGAAAATGAACACCACAGTTTCCACTGAAGTGTCAGCTAAAGGCATCAATCTGGAAGATAAGATACTGTATAGAGTGGGGTTTCATACTGAACAAGAAGAAGCAAGAAAATTGAACACAGTGGTGCAAAGGCGAATAGAAATCAGTAACCCTGTTATTTCCCTGGCTGTCAAACAGTTATCAAATTAAGAATCAACATGCTATTGCTGTGGTAATAGAGTCAACAACAACAGCAGCCGAGATGGATCTGATGGAATTAACACATGTTCCTTCTTGAGCAAGGTGAACCCACAGTGAATCCAGGGTGCACTGCAGGGGAGCCTGAAGAGCTTGGCTCCTCTCAAAAAGACATGAGCTCTCCTGAAAACATGATTTGTAAAAGTTTGGGGGCTCTGTAAAATATTGACAAAATGCTATTTATGCCATGTGTTTCTATTTTTTTGTATTTTTATCATCATGGATCCTGCGTAAAAATAGGCTATTATTGATGTATGATTCATGCATTAAGGTGATTCAGCAGTGATCATTAATTCACTTTAATAAAGATACCGGTGTGCATGCTATTCGTGCCATCATCAAGTGTGGCAGGTGACACAGTACCATAAACTTCCATCACTTTAACATCCTTGCAGCGATAAATGTTTCAAAGAGAATCATAGTTAGTCCTTGAGGCACGTGCAAGCACATAGACACCATCGGTTTAAAAAAAAAACATGAGCTCCCCCGAAAGCCATGGTATAGTTTGCACACATCAAACAGTTTTACATTCACATTTTCTATAAGCTGCCCTTTATATTAAAGTTGTTTCCCAGCTATGATCTCTGTGTTCACCTGATTTGCGAGGAAGATTATTCTAAAAAATACAAATCAAATTTATTATTTATTTATTTATTAGTGTTTGGTGGCTGCTGCTGCGACGGCTGTTGGGATGTTCTCAAGATTCTCAATGGAAAATTATATGACAGCACAAATTCACTACTGACATTCAAACATGATTTGTTTTTCATAGTTAAGTATGCTTAAGTGGTTAGCTGCTTGCTAGCAGCACACATTACAAGCAGGAGGTGTGAAAGTAGCATTAAGCTCACTGTCGGCCTTATGGCTCTAAAGGGCCATGAACTGCACCTATTACCATACGCTCCTCTCCAGGATGTTTCTTTTTTTTAACTTTACTATATTTACTTCCAGGTGAACAACTGCTTCCTCCACCTCCTCCTCTCCCTCTTGTGCAATTTACTCAAGGTGCTACACTAGATGCTGTCAAGGAGTGTTTCCCACTGCTTTAAGTCGAATGTACAGGATGTAATAGCTGATTACAATGCACTTACCATTACAGACTAATAGCTACTTTCTGAAAAGAAACACCGGAAGAGAGAGATTTAAGGTTACTTAAAAATACAAAATTACTTCACAGCTTGACATAAAAGGAACTCCTTTAGTGCTCTTATTTGTAAAGAAGAATGTATTGTTATTTATTCATTGTTTTTTAAATCCCAGAATTAGTATACTATTTTGCTCTCTGTGAATTCCTTCTTATACCAGAAGTGCCAATTTCCCTACATTCTTATATTTTAAAAACTGCATAAATTGGCTCCGGTTCTGAGTGCCCACAACATTGTTTCCACTCGGATTAAAACACTCAGGCACAAATTATTTCAAGCCTTTAAAAGAAATGAAAAGCATATATAAGTTTATATATAAGTTTAATTTGTTTTCCTATATTCACTCATGCAGTATTACATCCATTCATATAACTAATGCATGATACGTTTTTTATGGATATGTTTAGTGCCTAAACTTTAGGCACTCGAAGCACTTAAAGTCAAGTTTAGGTCTTGTTTTGATATGGAAAAGGTCAACTGTAACTAGAATTAGATTACATTCACATTACATTAACATTAACATTAACATTAACATTAAGCCATAATATTCTGACCACCTGGGCACCCTGGTAGTCAGAATGTGATAATGATAACCAGCATTAACCTTTTCAGCAGTTTGA